TCAAAGCACTTTATAAACATTCATTTAAGCCTCACAAACCCCCTTGTGTTGGTAGGTATTATGAAATGTGTTTTCCATCTGGGTAAACTAAGGGGCAGAGATTGCAACTTGCATAACATCAGCTGAGACGTGGAGGAAGAGAACCCAGGACAGGCTGCCTTGTGCCTGCTAGATCAGACACGCGAGCCTTCCAAGGAAGGCTGGGTCAGATTGTGTGAGCGTGTCGCTAGCTGTGCGGTGTGAGATATCCATCCCGTCTTGCTTTTGGTTCTGGGCCTAGGAAGAAAGCAGCGTGTCTGTTCTGTGAGTGAGCCTCCCCTCCTGTTTCACCTGCCTGTTCCTGCCGGCCGGCAGAAGCCCGTGCAGGGTGCTGTACCTGTTGTGCTGTGACAGGCAGCTTTTGGCTGTGCTCTCTCCGTTCAGGTGTGTCTGCCCCCACCTAAACTCTGGGCTCTCCCTTCCTAGCTGTGGACACCCATGTGCACAGGATCACAAACAGGCTGAAGTGGGTGAAGAAGGAGACCAGATACCCTGAGGAAACTCGGGTAGCGCTGGAGGACTGGCTGCCCAGGTAAGGCCTGAGACCGCAGCCTCCTTCCTCCACACCAAGCCCCTCGAGATAGCTGCAGGAGCCATGTCTGCACAGTTCTGCTTACAGTATTTTCAGAGACTGCACTTTTGGTCCCTCCTCTTTATGAGGGACTAGTCTGCAGGTGTTTCACCTTTCCCAGAGAGCTGCAGCAGCATCTCAGCTACTTGGTTGTTTCCTGGCTATCAGATATACCAGTCGCCACTAGTGCAGCCAGGTACCTGAAGGTCTTGATGCCCAATTCTTGCCTTGACAAGTTTACTGTGACCCAAGCCAGGTACTTCTCTACACAGGACCTTGCCAAGCCTAATGGCCACAGCAGTACCAGACCATGGTTGGATTCTGGCCTTCATTGATGCTTAATCTTCAGTATCAAATGCCAGCTGACAGGTACTCTGTTGCATCTCCACATCTGGCACATGCTGTAGCACAAGAGAACAACCACAGGCTCTTGGTGTGTCTGTGCTGCTCCCCCCCCACACCTCCCAGATCAGAGGGATCAGGAAAGGTTAGGAGGGCTGTTAGCAGGAGGCTGGGACCTGCCTCTAGGCGCCTCGGGAAGCCAAAAGGAACAGGCAGTAGGCAAAAGGGATCCATTTAAAAGCATGGTCTGTTCTTTAACCCCTCTGAATGGCTGTATCGGGAAGCTCATGTTTTTCCCTCTCACTGCAGGGATCTCTGGAGTGAGATAAATTGGCTCTTCGTGGGCTTCGGCCAGCAGACCTGCCTGCCTGTGAATCCTCGCTGCAACGAGTGCCTCAATCAAGACATTTGCCCAGCTGCTAAGAGACACTGAGGGATCATCCGGTCTTCATAGAGCAACAAAGCTGCTTCAGCTCAGCAGCAACCTGGAGCTGAGCCCTAGTAAAGCTGTGCTTTGCACAGGGCTGGCTGTGTGACTGCAGGGAAACAGAATACTGCTGCAGCCAGCTCAGCATCTCTGGGGAGGGAGCAGCCACTGGCAATAGCTGAGCTCTTAAGAGGAAAAAGGGTCTTTCAAAGTGCAGCAGTCCTGCTGCGTCAGTGCTAAAGGCTCCAGCCCGTGTGAATGCCTGAGCATGCCCTGGCAGAGCAGCAGGCTGTCTGTCCCGTGTCGCTGGAGAGAAATGCTTTGTCCTACTGGACTTGCTGCTGCTTGTAAATATGCATTTAATAAAGGTGGTGGGGGTTTTTTTCCACCCATGAAGTTTGCTGGCATCTGCGCAACACAGGGCAGGAAGAGGAGAGCACAGGGGACCTTACCAAAGAGTGAGACCATAGCAACCAGCTGAGAGCAGGCAGCACGCAACCTGCCAAGCCTCCTGCCTAGCCCAGGCAGCGAGGGGCACTGCGATGAATAAGGTACAACTGAAGACTTTGTGAGCCAGGACAAGCGGCCTTTGGGTCCTGGTAGCAGAAGAGCTGGGGGGGGGCGGGAAATGCAGAGCAGGGGGAGGCAGGAGACAAGCCAGTGTCACTCTGGGTTTTGTGTGTGCCAGCAAGGGTTACAGCGGCCACGGGAGCCAGGCTACCGTGTGCCTCAGAAGCTGACAGAAGGGACACCACCACCATCTGTGTTTTGTTCTTCAAAGAAAGGGCAGTGCTGACTTCATTGTAGAGCTTCAAAGGAATAATTTCAGCTACTCTTTAAACAGGCAAGGGAGGAAGCAAAGTTTATAATGTGCTAAAGAAGGCTGTAATTCCGCTCTGAAGGTCCCTACCAAACAGATGAGGAACTAGCAAATAAGTACTCAGTACACAGGGAAAATGAAGTTTATTACTGACATTACAGTGTACATTATGTTTTTACAATGCAGCTGACAGCCTTACACTTTATTGATTTTTTTTTCCCAAGTTAAATGTACAGGAACTGAATAATTACTACTGAGCTACAAGATGTCAGAAATACGATAAGTGCTTTTTTAACCAGGAGCAGTTTCCATGGACTAAGCAGAGATTAAGATTTTTTTAAATCTTATCAGTACAGATTTGCACACCTGATTTCTTTTGATCTGCATCCAAAACTACATGTTCTCTTTCTTCCCCCCTTAACTACAGTGGTCCAGTCTTGTATGAGAAATGTGGTATTTACAACAGGTCTTTGCTCTCTGACATGCATCGGAGTGCAACATTTAGGTCAGTGTAATGGGGAACGCTCTGCCCTGTGCAGATGGGGGCACTGCCTGGGGTTTGGCTATGCAGACACGGGAAGCGATGTGCATACCATGAAAAAGAAGGGCTCCTTCAAAAGATTACTGATTTATAGAAGCAAATATTTTGGGGACCAAAAAAAAAAAAAAAGCAGGTAATTGTCTTCAAAGTGGGGTAAGGAAGAGGTGTCTTGTTAATGGCAGAATCCTGGAGGGGAGGCAAACCTCTCCCCATCCTGAGCCATCATCCCACTGCCAGTCTTGTCACCGATAGCCAAACACCTGCACCGGTTCCTCTCCAAAGTCATTATTTTCAACCTGTTCAGCCCATCAACATTCCTAAAAGATAACTTTCATAAAAGAGAAATCATCTCCATCACCCCTGAGGCTTTCCATGCTCTCCTGCCAGCCAGCTAACAGCCATGAGCATCAGCTGCTCCCCACAGTGAAGCCAAAGTGGGGGACCACTGCTGCGGTTCCCCCCAACCCTGCACCCACCTGCCGCTGGCTGAGCCCCAACAGGCTGCCAAGGAGAGCAGTAAATGTTATAAGGCACCTTTTTTAGCTCCATACTTAGGAAATACACAGCCATTATGATATCCATTGCACACTGAGTAACCCAAAGGCCACGGGCTTGTAACACAGCAGTGCTGGAGTAACACAGCAAAAATCACAGCCATGTGTTTTAAAATGGTCATCGATGTCCAAGTGATTGCTGCCATTTGCTTTTAGCTGGGGAAAGTGGTTTTGTACTTGACTGTCCTGCTGTGCCCAGTCCCTTCCCACTGCTGCCTTGGTATTTGAGCTGAAATAGCGGGCAGCCACCATGGCACGGGAGGGAGGGGAGGAAGGGGCTGCCCCACCGCAGCCGGGACCCTGTCCTGGTAAAACACCTCTGTCTGCAATCTGAGAGTGGTGTAGTTCAGCTTAGTCATCTTCCCTCCTTTACAGCCAAAGGCAAGTAATAAAGAGCTTAAATAGGCTTAATTTGTAGCGCTTTAAAGATACATTTTTGAGGCTCTAATACCAAAAGCAGGGTGTTTTCAAAGGAGGCCACAGAAAGCCCAAGCAACTGCCCTCTCCATCACACCGCTGCCTGCTTTGCAGCCAGCCCCACAGAGACCCCACAGCTTCGGAGGACGCCCTCCCGATGGCGAGACAGACCCTCAGTTACGCTCATGGGTGGAGGCATCAAATCCCAGCCCAGAAGTAATAAACCAGGTGGGATCCAGGTCCTGCTCCAGGACCCAGCACCCAGGCACAGCCCCTGCTGAGCCCCCACTTCCCAAGCGCCAAGCCCACAGCTAGAGCCAGATCCCCACGTTCCTCCCTGGAAACCGATGCTGGGTTCTGCTCGCTTTCAAGTCTGTCCAAAGAGGTTTTGTAGCATCTCGTGGCTCTGGTCTTCTCACAAGGCTGCCGGAGCTGGGCGAGCAGGACTGGCCCCGCTCTCTGCGCCTTCCCCTGCCGCTCAGTGCTGCATCGATGGCTGCAAGTGGTGAGGCCTGTGGCATTTGGGCTGTTGGGTTTGGGTTTTGTTTTTAAATCCTGCCCTCTCCCCCTCTGCAGAGCTGTCAGGGATGAAAAAGGGGCTTTTATTGCTGGGGCAGAAGTTGCTGGTGGGGAGGGAGGTTCCTAAATTAACTGGAAACATATGGGACTTCATTAAAAAAAACAAAAACAACAAAAACTTTTTTGTTTCAATAGCAAAGCCAACAGGAGCAATTTACAGTCACTGTCCATTTTCCCATCGTGTGAGTAGTTAACGCTGCAGACGGGGAGCTGGGCAGGGGGTGCCAGGTACACCCCATCCTGCAGGACCCCACTACGGTGGGGGCACGAGGCCGTAAGACATTCACACAGGGGCACAGAGCATCCCATGGGGCTCAGTCTGGGACACCCGCAAAACCAAAGCAAATACTCCAAACAACAACAAAAAAAAAAGTAACAGAAGCCTAAATGATGCAAGTAAGAAACAAGAGTTAAACTCTTCCAGTCCTTTCTCATAGGATTGGGGGATGGCAGGCAGCCAGAGCCAGGCTGAAGAGCAAGCAAGAAAAGGAGCTTTGGTCACATTTGTCTTATGAGAATTGCTGGTGAGTAACAATAATAATAAAAAATAAAAAATAAAAGACTTTAAAATACGCCTTGTAAAAGCAACCAGTGAAGAGCAGAGCACAAAGCATCTCACATGGACACTGAAGGACAGGGCGTAGGCACCTCAGAAACGTCCGAGCTGGGGCAGGGGCGGGAGAGCAGCGGACGGCAGCCACCAGCAAGGCTCAGAAATTGCTGAAAATCTCTCGCTTCTTGTTCCAGTCCATCTGCGGAGCTCTTTTCTTCACCCGCTTGGCCCGCACCTTCTCCTTGGTGGCCTCAGCAGCCGTTGGGCTCAGGGTCAGCCCGCTCTCCTCAAATGGGTCTTTCTTCTCTGCGTCTCCATCCTGCATGGAGAAGGAAGAAAAGATGTCAACCCATGGCAGCATCCCCCCACCGCTGCGAGCACGGCCATGGTGTCCGGCAGCGTTTCACCTCGCACAGCCCCGGGAGAGGCGTTTCCTCCAGCGTGCATGGCAAGCAAACAGGTAGGGGTGGGTTTTTTTTGAGCAGAAGGTCAAAGTCCCTCCCCTGTACCATGTCTGTGGTTTCACTGGTGGCGACAGCATCCGTATGGCCACAGAGTTAATTACTACATTGCGTTTTGTGGGGTTTTTTCCCCCTCCCTGCCTGAAGAATGCGTGGCTGCCGCTGCTGGAAGTGGAAAAGCAGAAACACAGAAGCTGCTGCCAGAGGGAAAACAAGCTGCTCCACTTGCTGGGAAAATGAAAAGTCAGTCCCTGGTATAGGCAGAAAGCAGGGATGAGGGAGCAAGCTGGGTGAACCTCATGGCTCGCAGGGAGGGGTTGCAGCAAGCCCCCCCCCGTGTTTGCCTGCCCGGGCACCCGTTTGCTCCCAGAGCACCCACGGCTAACCGTGGGGTGGGGGGGGTGTGTGGGAGGACGCAGTGCCTGCCTGTGTACCCAGCTGGCCGTGCCCAGCAAAGCAGCCGTAAGACGCCAGTCAAGGCGGTATTTGCTTCGGGAACTGTATTGAAAACAGCACCTTTGTCTGCTTAATGAAAGTACTTTTATAATAAAATTCACCGCCCTTGCCAAAGTGACTGCTGCTGCAGCAACGTGCCCTCAGACCAGAAACCCCAGGTGCCCCTCCACCACCCCTGACCCTCTTAGTCCCACAGGAGGTGAAGGGCAGCCACCACATCCTCAGGGTACAATTAACAAAATGCTTTTACTCCATTGCATCCCTGCTGGGGACAGACCCGGCACTGGCTCTCTGAGCTCCTCAAACCCCACAGGTCTGGGAAGCATCATCCCTGCCGGGACTTGCCTCATCAGAGCTGGTTTCAGTGGGCAGCACGCTCCGTAACGGGTGCAATGTAAAGCTTCTGCTTCATCGATCATATCTGTACCAAGTACTTTGATCACATCCTTACTGAGGCTTTGCCAGCGCCCGGTCTCGGTGCCAGGCAGGGTGGAGATGCCCGAGGAGCCCGGCTGCAGCCCGGAGCTGCACAGCTGCACTCTGGAAACACTGCACTCGTGTCAATAGTGGGCAAACACACAGAGTCAAGACCTTCAGTTTTAAAGAAACATTTTAAAGCCTGCCTACTCACATTGCTGCCCTACCACGCATGCGAAACTCCAAAATAATGATTTCACAACCCCTGCTGATAACCATGGGCAGGTCTTCCACCAGCACTGCAAGATAATGGCTCCAGCTTTGCTCTGGCTTACAAATGCCAAGTGAACCGGGTGGTGGCTTGAACGAGCGCACCAGGCTACGAGCTGGGAGGGGGGCAGAGCCGCAGGCAAACCCCTCGCCACCCCCCCAAGGACTCTGGTTTCTAGAGCGGAGGTGGGACAGCAATCTCCAAAACAGCCCAAAGGTGACTCCATGGGATGAACCGCTGCGCTCGGGCACTGGGACACAGCCTGGTTTTCCAAAGGCAGCAGCCATTGGATCAGGATATGTATTATTTAATGCTCAGAGAGAAACGGAGATGCCAGACTGCAAACGTCTGGCCACGGCTCTCAGACACAGCTGGTGTTCGAGATGCTTTAGAGGGTCCGGGTGCTCAGAGGAGGCTGTGAGAGCACTTGCTGCCGTCAGATTCCCACTCCCAGCCGTCTCGGGGCAGGGGACGGCACAAGCACTGAGAACCAGCAGAGACCCCACAGAGCACCTGCATGGAGGCAATTCCTCTATTTTTAGCAGAGCCTCATGCTAAAGATAAATTTGAGAAAATTTGAGAAATCTCCTACTTATCATTTTAAGAAAAAAAACCTGCTAAATTAATAACACCAAAAGAACACAAATTTATGTCTTGTGTTTACTTTTGGTTGCTCGTTCACCATGCACGGTGAGGTCTGCCTCTTCCCTGGCCCTTCGCTGCAGCATTCAGCCAGCCAAACAGCCCCAGCCCTGGGGGTCACCAAATCCACACTCCTCCTATCTTGAGCAGCTCCTTTAAACACTGATAAATGCACTTGTGCTCCAAGCTAAAAGCAAGTTGGCTTTTTTAAATTTTAGCCTGCCTTGTTTCTCTTAGCAGCACTTGAACCTCAACGCTCTGCTTCTCCTGCCCTCCTGGCTTCGCAGCCTCACCTCCTGCCCTGTAGCTCATCAGTATAATTACACTTAAGATCCAAAACTCTTGTAGACATCCTTTCATCTTACATCTCCTTTCAAACTATTCGAGCACGAGTCACAGCCCAACAAAGCGCCAGTTAACTTGCTGCCCTTGATGTTCTCCTCTGCTCTGTTTGGGGCAGTGCCACCTCCTCCCCGAGGTCACGATGCCCGAAGGGACGAGCACACGTGAGTCCTCCCAGAGCCAGGAAGGAGCACGCACCCGCACCCTTGCAAAACTCGACTGTTAATACAGACATCTGCTGCTGCTGGCTGAGGCCACGCAGCCCCCACAAACTTTTCTGTCCCCTGGACAAAGAGGGGAAAGAACATCTCTGACAGCAGCTCGTGCTGCTACAGCACATGCCACCCCGAGGGTCCCGAGCCCTTGACCTAAAGGGGTTATTGATCCATCCCAGTGGCCACCTCCACACCGGAACCAGCAGCTGCTGACACCTCACGGCTCTGTTTCATGCACACCTACAGTACAAGGGATGAAAGAAAACTGGAATTTGCTTGCTGGATGGATACAAGTGTACCCAAGTCTGCAAGACAAAACTGAAAGTGCATTGAAAGCATTGTTACACAGTTCCATAAGGCAAGTATGTACCTACAACAGTATGTAAAAGGGCAGGGGAATGTTTGGGGGTTTTACCTCCGATTCCTTCCCAGGACTTTGAAGGTCACTGTGAGATGAAGATGTGGATCCTCCATTCAGCTAGTGGAAATTAAAACGTTAGTCCAATTTGCACAAAGATAGAATTAGAAAATAAATAAGTAAAAAGCTAGGCAGAAAAATGCTCCATCCTGGTGGGGACAGACATCCCAGCTGCCCGGCCAGGTGGAGAGCAACACCTGGCTTGTCCAGGGACAGGGGAGGGTCCTGCCGAAGGGACCGTGCACACACACAGACACACACACACGAGCTCCCTGGGATTTGCTGCTCTCCACATCCCCCACACCAGGCTGAGCACAGTCCCTGTCCCGCCAGCGCCGGGCAGCCACTCACCTGCTCCCCCGTCACTGGGAACTGCGGCTAAACGGGGCTGAAGCCAGCCTTGTTCAACCCCTAAATTAATGCTGCGGCAGGAAGCAATTGAAGTCAGCCAGCAGCAGTTAAGCTGAGCTAAACGGGCCTTGGGGACACTATGAGCATCCCTCTCTGTTCTGCAGGCTGGCAAGTCATCCCGACAGGCTCACGAGTCACAGGTGGGAGCCAAGGAAAGCCGGCATGCCAGGAGCCTGGCCTCTCACCCCCGATCCCTCTCGATCACTCCAACACGTTTCCCTAAATGGAGCTAACCTGGGACGCTGCCCAGCCACCCCGGCCATCGGGGCATCCCGGAGCAGGCAGGCACTCACCTGCGTCTGTGCGGATCCGTTTGTCATGGGCTGAGGTACCACACCTAGAGATCACATAAAGAAAATACACGGTCAGTGCACTCACAGCTGGGATGGCCGGCCTCAGGTCCCGGGCAGGCACCCCTCAACATCGCCCACCCGGCCGTCCCAAGCCCGCCTTCTCCCTCACCCACCCCACCAGCTCTGACAGCATGTCTCATCTCTTGTCTTTGTCCTGTGCTGCTTCCAAGCCCAGGCAAAAATCCTGTCCACCCCCCTTGTGCCCTTCTGGAACCAAATTCTTTCCAATTTCCCTGACTCCACTTGATTTCACCCTGTTTTCATCAGAAGAAACCAGTTTCCAGGAAGGGGACCAAGTAACTTTCTTCTATGAGCACTAAATTCAGCACACTCCCATTTTTTTCACTGTTAGGTAATTTTCTTCAGAAGCTGTTTAATCAGAAATCTTAACACACAACCCAACATTCTTCACCAAAATCAGCACATTGTCGGTGTCACAACAGCGTGTGGCAAACAACCCACTCCCCAGGTACCCTGGCTTACGTTTGCTCACTTCCAACAATTTGCACTAATAATATTCCACATGATGACAGATTTTATGCAGATGAGCTGCTAGTCACCACGATCAAGTCATTGCTGAAAGCATCACCATGACTCATCTGTCCCAGCCTAACAGATGTGTTAATTGTGACAGGATTAACAACTGAATTATGTTAAGCATGAATGCTTCTTGGGGCAAAGCTCTCTGTGCATCTCTCCACCAGAAGACAACGATGTGGATACATGTCACTATAACCCAAAATCCAGGGAAACAAGAGCAGCGCATGGTGCCAAACGTGGCTTGCAACTGCAGAAACCTGGGGCAGCTAACTGCACAGCTCCAAAGCCATCGTCTCCTCGCACCACGTATGGGCATGGCTGAGCTTTCCGAGGGACCGATCTGAGGGCTGCAGTGAGCGCTGCAGGGATTCCTAGTGCAAACCAGAGCAACTTTGTGTTTGATAAAAATAAACCCAAATCATGATTTTGAGTGTATGCTGCTGCAAAAGCCTCAGTTATAAATTTGGGATTCTTGAGCAGAATCAGGCAGACCCAATTCTCACTGATCTCTGATGAACACATCCGAGACGGCAGCAAGAACTGCAGAACCAAGGCAGGGGCTCAAGCAGCCACCCACTCCCCCCGGTGTGTCTGTGGCCCTGGCTATGTCCCCACCCCGGGGAACAAGGGCTCCTTTATCGCTCGTGCCAGCAGACAGCTCTGGCCCCAGCTCCTCCTTGAACCGATGCGGAGCATCTGACACCGCTTTTGCCCCGTGTGCTTCTCCGGCATTGTTTGAGCCATTTCTTTGGACAAATCTCCCCATTGAGTATCTGAGGGAGCTGGGGTGCAGATCAGATAAGGAACGGCTGTATTGGGAAACAGAGCTCCCCATTCAGCTGGGGGGGGCAGGACGGGCTGGGGAGCGCCCCGCTCCCTCCCCATCCAGGAGCAGCAGCACAACAGGTTGAGAAGTGGACAGACAGCTTTCTCTGCCAGCTTTCAACAGCAAGGAAAACATTTCCTGCAACAGCCACCCCTGTGATCACCATGGCGTGAAACCCTTCCCCCTGTGCACACACGGCGTTTGCTCCGGCATTTCTCAATGCACCCGCAGGTTCCCTCGCTGGAGCAAAGAGCAACAGGGGATTTATTGCACTCTCTCTCCTGAGACCCCAGCTCAGCACCCCAGGCAGACCACTCTGCTCCCCTGGTCCCTATGGGTCCATCCACTCCGACACCAGACACCCTGTCTCCCAGGGTGTGGGTGCTGCAGCCGAAAATGGAGGAGCCCGAGGAACTGCTGTCTGAGAGGCTTCCCAGCCCCAACCAGATGGACCGGTCCCATCTGAGCACCCCTCCATGAGCTCATCGCTCGCCGAGTGCCCAGCTCACCCTGAATCCCACCATACTCTGCCTCAGCCACTTTATGGCAGCAAGTTCCTAAGTTAATTATTCACTGTGTAAAAATAACAAATTGGGTTTTGGCTAGATTATAAAGTATTCTCACTATTTATAAATAGCTGGGTGGTACTCAGGAAACTACCGAGGGATGAGACAGAAGGGAAACATGACTCTCCCTCACTTCTGAAATCCCACCCACGACATGAGTCATGGGAATGGCGCAGGGTCACCCAGGGAAAGCGAGGTCTCACCTTTGGTGTGCTCCTCTGTGGGGGTCACCCCCAGCTTCTTGAAGTAATCATCTGTTTCGGGGTCCACCACCAGAAGCCTGGCTTCGTTCTCCCTGGACTTAATGTGAGACACCACCTCCGAGTGCCGCAGGCCTTCCACGTTTATGCCATTCACCTGCAAAGCGACGGCATCAGAACCCAAGTCTCTGTCCCCGCAGCAGAGATACTGGTCCCAGCTCACAGACCCCCAGAGCAGCCTCCTCACCCCCTAAGGGATGAGATTTTCCTTTTTAAATTCCTGTTTGGATGACAGGAAGGCTACAGACTTTGTCCTTCCCCTTCAAGCCAGCCACAGCCTCCTACTACCCCCCCCCCGCCACTGCCTCTGCCAGAGCATCCTTCATGTTACTGCACGCCTCTGCCCGCATCCCAAACACACCCAGTCGGGAACGACAGCCCCCAGGCTCTGCCATCACCTCGTTCACCCACCTCCTGCCAAAATGCTCTGGCTCCTCTCTTTAATGATTTCAAACCCAGCCTTCACCTTGGATGTACCCCAGGTATCTCAGGCTGCCTATGGGGTGCAACCATGTGCACGGGCAGTGGGCTGGGTACCACCGGCGTGTCCTGCTCCGCAGCCCTGCCCAGGTGGCTGCAACATCACCACACCATCATTCATCCCTCCATGATGGAAAACGGTGGATTTCCCACATCCCCGGTGGGCGAGTCCTCATGCCTGCTGCACAGATTCATGTCTCCCTTCCCTGCGTGCGAGCCGGGACCTATTGGGGAACGTGATCCTCTGCTCCCGATTGTTCCCCGCAGCGAGGGGACAATTGTGATTTCGAGGCATTGTTCGCAGTGGGGAATGAATCACCCTTTGTCCCGCAGGGGAAGGTCTCTGCACCGCCCGGCCCCTTGCTGCTGGACCCGCTTTTGTGTGATAAACTCTTTTCAATGTTCCAGTCCTTCTCCGGCAAAGCTCAACCCACCCTTCGCCTCCTGTCCCGCCTTTGGCGTCCGAAGGCGCCTGCCCACAGCACAGTGGAGCGATGTCCTAATTCAGCTTGGGTGGAGAAGTGCTGGTGGTACAGAGAGCACCGGGAATGGAGTAACCTCTTCTTAAAAATAGCTAGTCTGTTACTACAGCTTTCCGAAACAAATCAAAGAGTTCAAAAAGCTGTCTAGCACAGAAAGGTCTTCACTAGAAGTGGACAGCAGGTTTTGCTTGTTTTTCTAAGCCACACATGACATTACAACTGCATGCTTTGGATGGACACGCCTGCTCTCCTGCAGGGCCACAGCTGTCCAGGATCACCAGCATCAACACATTTTTATTCCTCCTCTGCCTGCAGACAGACAACTGCCTCCTCCCATGCCAGACCCCGAAGAGAGGAGCACATTGATGCCAGAGCCAGGGACAGAGCCTGGGAGTGGGGTAACCCCATCCCAGCAGCCCCCCAGGGAGCTGAGCTACGCCAGCGTGGCACTGCCCCAGCAGCACCCAGGACACTGCAGCCCATCGCAGGGAAGTGGGACAGCAGATGAGGCTGGTCCTGGCCCAGCCGGGGACCCTTTCGCTGCAAAGTCACAGCTGGAGACACCCGACAGCCTCGGCACCACCCCGAGGAGGCAGATGTTTGCTCCTGCCGCAAAGGGACAAAACAGGTGAACCCTGCAGAGCCTGAGCTGGGCCAGCTCCAAACTTTGGGCTCCCCTTTGCATTTCGAATGCCTGAACACAAACCTGGGGCAGAAGCAAGTCTTGAGGGCCAAGACATGGCTGCAAGGGCTGGAATAGAAAGGGAACCCCCTCCCCGGGCTTTGCATCTCACTGGCAACCTCAGCTGCTTACTCGTAACCCCTCTCTGTCCCCAGCAGCATCCTCCTGCCACTCCAGGTCACCCTGATCCATGCCCAGCACTCACCCCTGGTTCAGCCTGGCCAGGCAACATGGGGCTGCTCTCCCCCACCCCAGCACCCCCAGTGCAGCAGGGCTGGGGGCATCAAATATTTATCCAAGCCCCAAAGACCGGGTATGGAGGGGATCAGGTTTCTGAGGTTGCCAGCTCACCCCTCACCGCTTTGTGTGTGCCAGGCGCTCTGCCAAGCGCCGATAAATAAATAACACAACACCTCGCTGTGACACCGCGCTGCCGGGAGCTGCTGCCACCAGTGCCCCACTCCCGGCCCCGGCCCCACGCTGCTCCCGACATTAAACTTTCAGGTGCTGGGAAGAGGCAGCAGCTCCCACCATCTGGGGAACAATTATTCACTGTGCTAGAAAGCAGGCAAGTGCTTTGGTCTTAGTATTTCCTCAACTCACCCAGCTCTGCAGGGTGCAAGCGTTTTCTTCTAGGAGTGCAAACCCCTTTTGCCCCATGAGCTGGTGGTGAGGGCCATGGCTTGGTCCCCACAGGAGGGTTTTGGGGTTCGCCCTCCTGGGGAAGGGACACACATCACCCCAAGCAGGGGACATCCACATGGTCCTGCAGCGCAGATGTGACATTTTTTGTGCCTGGAGCACCGGCTTCCAGATCAACCCCTGCCTGCCCCTCTGTCCATGTGCTGCTCAAGCCCTGGCCAAAGTGCAGGCAGCTCCAGACAGGGGAACCTGTCCAGAGGAAAACGCAAGCAAGACAGGAAAAACGCAAGACAAACAAGCTGAAGGGAGGGTGATTCCCAGCCGCATCAAAACTTGTGATGTTCAGCGCTCAGTGACCAGAAAGCTGCTTCCAAGAGCAGTTTCTCCCCCTCTTTCACAATTTTGTGTCCTGAAATCTCTGCAAAGTTTTTTCCCCTCTTTTTCCAAATGCTTGCCTGGCAGTGCCTCAGCTCAACTGGGCAGCACCGACCCATCCCTATGCCTGCGGCAGGCGGGCAGACCCGGGGGGGGGGGGTCCCCCCCCCCCCTGCATCGGTGGTGGGACGTCCCACGTGTCCCTGCACCCCTTTTGCTGCAGCCGGCAGAGCCAGCTCCAGCACCGAGCGGCATCAGGCAATGCCACCACATGCGGGGCTCGCTGTGCTGCAGGGGGGGAGATGGGCACCCATCAGGCACCTGATCCACAGGATCCCGCTGCCACCCCTGAAGCACCCAGACGGGCACAGGGGCAGCGCTTTGCCTGCTCCGACCCTTCTCCGTGCCAGCCGGAGCCAGCAGCAGCATCTAGATTCCAGCGCTCACAAGTGCCTGCTGTTAACGAGCTGCTGAAGGACCACAAAGCCGCTGTCTAAGCACCCACATCGGACTTACGGCTCTATATTACAGAGGAATAAGGGGCCGATCTGATGGAAAAGCTCAAGGGATGAGGGCCGGTTTCAGCTTCAGGCTTCCCAAGGGTCCCATCATTTCTGCTGTCCCTCTCCCCACCTGTGAGATGGGGACAGGACCTGCCCCTGCCAGGCTGGGCAGGATTGAACATCCCTGTGCAGCACATGCTGAGGAAACCCGAAAGTCTCCCCAGGAAGGGAGGTGCTGAGCTCCCGTGCCATTACCTCCACCAGCCGGTCCTGGGGCCGCAGCCCCGCTCTGGAGGCCGGCGAGTCGGGGTCCACCGAGCGAATAAACTGCCCCGGCCGGGACTTCTCGCTGTGCAGGTTGAAGCCGTAGCCATTGGGGCCTTTCTTCAGGTGGCAGAGACGTGGGCACAGCTCCTTCTGTCCGTTTAAATCCTGAGTAACAGAGGAGGGGTTGCGGGGAGACAAAACATTTAAATTTATAGGTTTGGTTTTGCTCTAAAGCAAATGCAATCATAAATAAAGCTACCAAGGAAGCACCATATCTGCACCCCGTCCTCCCGTTCCCCTGCACAGGGACAGCTTAACAAATGAATTTCCTCTCATTGAGTCTATTTTAGAAAATCAATTGTCCAAAACCATTCCAGAACAAATTAAAACAAAACAAAAAATGCGTTTCCTTCACCAGAGGCAGCCCAGATAAAATCCTCCCATATGCCAAGACACCCCCCCAGCAGCAGCCGAGCCCCATGGCTGCAGCCCCAGGCAGGGGGGGACCAAACCTGAGAGCCCAGGCAAAGCACACGGGCTCACCAAGACACTGGATTAACCTCAGTTATTTATTTAAGGCAGTGCCATGCCCTTGGTCCCGGTGACACTGGCATCGCTCACGGGTATGATCAACTCCCAGTGGAGGGGCTCTGGGTGCTGGGGTGATGAACCCCACGCCTGACGGCTCCCCACAGCATGGAAAGGCTGAGCTTTCTGCAGGATGAACAGTACGGGAACACGTGAGGAGTTTAGCGCTTTCCCCCATCCCATGGAAAATACTTTATGGCTCCTTGGGGCAGCCAGGGGAGCAAATACCAGCTTTTCCCCAGGTCTGCAGGGCCCATTATGCTCCCTTGGACGCTGCTCTCTCCGCAGCCCCTTCCCAGCCCCCGTGCTGCGCAGCACCAGCTCACGGCACAGCACCACATCCCCAGCAAGACCTGCCTTGGAGATACGGGTTTTCATTTTCATCTGTGGTTTAAAGGAAAACACCCCCTGTGGCTGAGTTTTAATCTTTCATTAAAAGAAATGCCACTCCCCTCCTGCTAACAGACCTTATTTTTTTCAGATTGCATTTATGGTGAAATCTCTTACAGCCTTTCCTTTCAAATTAAAAACCCACGCAGCAATTTTCTCCACGTTCCTGTCTTTGCCAAAAGGTACTGTAAAACACCAAACCTGCACCCCCTCCCCTCCCACCGCACGCCCAGAGACGTCCTCCATCCCCAGACAGTTCTGGGGCTCCTACACACCGTGCTGGCTTCGTGCAGGAACTGCCTGCGCCAGCAGCTCCTTGGACTCCCAGCACCTTGGGGTTATTTCTGCAAAACACCCTCAATGTTGCTTAAAAGCTGCTTTCTCTCCAGAAAGGGCCGTGGGAGCTGAGGGCACCCATGGCTGATGCCCAGCAGACCTGGCCTGGCCACCACCCACGTGGGGGACCCCAGGGACGATGCTAAGGGGCTCCAGCCGCACACGGACCCTGCACAGCAAGAGCCAAACAAGCCAAAGGACATTTCCCACTGCCATCGTGGAACCGGACTATCCACAGGGTCCTCGTGTGCCCCAATGACAACAGGGAATAACTCCATTTGCAGTTATACAAGGCGATATTTGGGCACTGTGAGTCATGGTGGGGCAAATACGGAGGGCAACAAAGAGCTGAATCAATTCACCAGCACTTACTGATCTCCTGGCTCCCCATGGGGACAGTGGTGGCCTGCCAATGGCACCCCTGGAGTCAGTGCCTAATTCCCAGAGGAGGAGCACAGCGTGCAAGCAAGCCAATTACCACGTGGCCAGGCACTGCCGGCGAGCTGCCAGGGTTGCCACAGCTAAGTCACTTCGGGGACTGATCCCATCTCCTTCATCCCCTCAAAGAAGTGATTTACCAGAGGACTCTCAGGTGGGGACATGCAGAGTGGTCACCCCCAGGGACTTGCCACCAGCTGACAGAGAGAGCAGCCCACAGTGCCCTTCCACCCCTGGGGCATGGCTCCCCGCTCAGCGCCTACGGGCACTGCATTAATGCAAACGGCAAAACATAGTTAGTGTTACTCAATGCCATGTCCCTGTCCCCAGCTGGGGTCCCCACTTTGCAGAGCTCAGGGCCAGAGGATCCCCAGGCACAGGGCATCAACCATCACCTGCACCCAGCGCAGGCACCATCGGTCACACGAAACACCCAGCTGGGGTGACACTGCTGCCGCTGGCAGGGGACAGAAGCCACAGATGAAGAGAGATAAATCTAAATGATCCCAGCAAGAAATACCCACTTCATGCCACAGAGAGCACGCGTCCTCATGCTGCAAGCTGTGACCGTGGCCACTCTGCAAGCAGGGGCTCCAGACACCCCCCCAGCACCAACCTGTCACAGGCTTTAATGCAATGGGATGAGCCCTGGGGATGGGGTGAGACCTGGGGACAGGGCACGGGGAGACAGAACCCCACCACGACTGCTTCACTGGGGGGGAAAACTCCCCCCCGGCCCCATCCGGCACTTGCTCTGACCCCACGCGCACCCGCCAGCTCGATGGGATGTAAATAAATATCCCAGCACAGCTTTCCTCAAGCTGCTTATGAAATACTCAAGCCGGTGGGGTTCGTGGTGGGTTGGATGAGTTCAGGGGATGACTCTGGTGTGACTGGTGCCTCCATCCCTGCATGGCCCTTTCTTGGGAATATAAATGCAAAAAAACCAACATTTCCCTGCCCATCACTTAAGGCCGCATCTTCCCAGGGTGGCTGACCCCACCAAACCGCCTCCTCCATGCCCTCTGCGACGTGCTTCATCGCATTGAGCTCTTCCAAACACAGTCCCCATGGGGCTGACAGCCTGAACCCCTGTGGGACCCCAGCCCCTCCAACCCCAAAGCAGGGAGGCAAGATCAAAGCCTTCCCCAGGGCCAAGTGCCGGCACTCAGCAATCCCTGGCCAAAGCAAGAGCTTGAGCTGCTGCCGCTTGCACCCACCTGTGCCCTCTGACAGTGAGCAATGAGATCGGTCCCAGAGTCCTGGCACAAAAAGCAGGGGGAATTTTGGCCATAGCTGCAATGCCCGGGGGCACACAGATGGATTAGGACTCAGGACCAGCTTGACCAGCACGATCCCAACATTTGGGAAGAAACAAGGATGCGAGATGACCGGCCTTCACTAGGCACCAGGTCAGAGCTGCCCACGATGCTGCTGCTATGGCACAGGAGATACATCGGCCACCCCAAGTCCTCGGGGCCAGAGCACCAAATTCCTCAAAAAGCACTCACAAATGAGGGCTGCCATCGGCGGCACCCGTCATGGGCATCAGAGCTTGCTTGGACCAGCTGCAAACTGTAACTACACATTTACAGATATTAACTTGACAATGCAGTATTTTATTAAAAAAAAAAAGCGTGGAGGGAGCTGCAAGAAAAGCCTTACCAACTGCTGGGCAGGGGGGCATGTGGATGTTATCAGGACAAGTTTTGGAGAAAAGGAGACTCACAGGCATCTGCCTGGGGAGATGTTCTTGGCATCAGATACCCCAACAAACAGATCTGTTCTTAGAAGTGGAAAGTCATCAATGCAACCTTCAAATCATCAGTGCAACATCGAGACCATCAGCGTAACAACCACTGATCGATAAAACCAGCTCCTGCCAAAACAGGGCAGGGCTCCCAAAGCGCTTCGGCTACCTGGTCAGCAAAAACCAGCGCAGCCTGACCGGGACAAGCCCCTCTGACCGCCACCACCCCGCGCTTGCATCCTCTCCCTCCGCAGATTTAGCACGCCTGTATTTTTCCCATGGCCCCGGAGCAGTTAGTTCACCCTATCTGCAAACATTTCCAGCTTGCCTTGGAGTTCTTCAAAAACTGAAGAAAACAGGAAATGATTCAATCGGCCGAAGAGGGGTCAGATCTGCGCGACCTTAAAGGATGCACGGGACTCTGTGCAGCTAGGAAAAGGGGGCATGTCTCGCAAGCAGAAAGGAACGCATCTAGGATCACCTATTTGGGTTTGAAAAGGATTTTTTTTTTAAAACAGTTTTCCTCTCACCACATTTTTACAGCGTCAGAGCTCTGGCAGCAGTGTGAAAGCACCGAGAAAATCACCCGAAAATGC